CTTTAAGATGAAGTTTGGAACGTGCCTCGGCACAGCTCTCCGAGTCCTCTTCCTCTTCCTCTTCCTGCGAGAATGTTGAAACCCCGGCCGAAAAACTGTCGAAGCATCAGAGTAAGCCCTCGCTCCGCGGATCAGCAGATCCAGCGCAACATAGTTGAATAAGATTCTATAAATATATGGTGTTTATATGTTTATAACGTTTCTACAGCTCTTCGTCGGGGTGTTCAGGGTCCAAAGTCCTTGATAGTTTGGTGTATATGTCAAGGACGGTTGTATTTATAGGCTATATAGTAGTTGAAAACCGTGTAAATCGTATTTGGTACTTGAGCCCCTGTAGATCTAAAGTTTATTATGTCTTGCGCACCCTTGGAACGAAAATGGAAAAGCAGGTTTAACATAAATATCAAAGAACACTTCTCACTCTTTCTGCCGCGGCAATGTGGGAGGGTATGCCTGAAACCAAGTTCGCTGGGATACCCTTATCGCCCATCTGCTTTGTCAGCCGTAAATCGGACTTGGCCGCCAGCTTCCTGCACTTTCTCACTTTGTACGAAGCAAGAACCGTCTTCCACACGCGTCTGCGAAGCCTATCTCGGCCTCTCTCGGAATCATGTTGGTCGGCATCATCGCTCTCGATGTGTGATTCCAGGCCAGCTTAGCTTAACCCACGATGTTCGCAACACTCGTGCAAATCAGCCCGTCTACGATGAGGCCCATGCCATGATTGCACCGCCATCGAAGGCAAAGCCACGAATCGTGGAGGTGCGCGAGGGTGGGGGCAAAAGCTTGCGATGCTGAGGTGTCATGCAGCCTCTTAAATCATGAAACCTGATAAGCGATTTATGTGGAAAGCGGGGACGGTCGTGGCAAAGGGAAGGCCAAAGGCAAAGGAACATGCCCAATGGCAATGCCGCTGACTTTCTTGCGGCGAACGTATCATACGAAGCTGTGTTTAACTTTATAGTCGTCACGCACCAAACCTTGAATCATCTCGTGGACTTTTACCATATGTCATTGGGCGACGGCACCCATGACCTGAAGACTTCCCCATCTATCAGTGTCCAAGTCAACCTTGACATGAGAAGTTTTCTAACTTAGGGTCCTTACTTACAACAATCTCGCCAACAAGAGACCCTAACCCTAAGGGTCCATGTGCCTGCATAACATGTAACATATACTTAGACCCTACAGTACCAAATTAGGAACTGCATTAAGGCCAATGTTATACTATATAGGTATACATGGGGGCTTCCGAAAACAAGGGACCCTAATATAGTACCTTAAATAGTAGGATCCTTGTTATAAGGACCCCAAAATAAGGTACCCGCAGTTTCGGAAACTCCCACATGGACCCTCAGGAAAAGCTAGAGAGGCGCCCACATATGTCGGCAGCGCTGCTTCCGAAAGCAAAGACATGACCTTGCTGGCACCAAGTTCTACATAGAATCATATTCCGCGACAACATCCCCCATCAAGGGTTCAGCACTTTAGGGCTTTGTAGGGTTAGGGGTGTATATGGTTTAGGGTCTGTAGGGGTTTAGGGTTTAGTAAGTTTGGTGAATTCAGTGTTTCCGGGTTCGCGGCTTCGGGTTTAAGATTTACGGCCCACAGATCAGCAACCAACCACGGTTTGTACGCTGCAAACACTGCACCTTTCAGACAAGATTACTAAACCTGTGAGCAAGTTCTGCTGCCTGTGTTCTCGGGGCTTATAAAGCATAACCCCGAAACCCTACCCCGCTAAACTCTAAACCTCAAGCATTGGATATTGTCTTTTAAGCATGGCGCTGGGTTTGGTTCAGTCAAAGCCAAACGTTCCGTGCGATCAAGGCGTAACCCTTTCCGGCCTACAACAATCACGCTGAAGGTGAAGGGCCCTAACAGTTTTTTCAATCCGTAGTTTCAAAGCACATCCTGGATGCTTAAACCCAATTTTGCACATCTTGGTATACATGTCGTCACAATTACGGGAAGGGTTTCCGTAATTTGATGCGATATAGCATACCGAGACGCCCGGTTCAATTTACCACCAAGGCCCCTTTGCAAGAATCCTAAACGATCCTATAAGCCCCTAATAGAATCCTTGAATAAAACAGCCCTGCACCCTATTCACCAAACTTGTCCTCTGTAGTCTCCCTATAACTTTTCTCGCATCCTCAAAGAAGCCCTTACAATATCCTGTTAGGAACGCGGTTCAAACAATCACACAAAGCCCTGTTTACAAACCTGGTCCCGAGGGTTCAAAGAGCCAGCCTCAAGGTCGCGCTGACGCTCCTATGTCTGTTTTTGGGCGGGCTCGTTGCGTGTATACGGTTTAGGGGATTTGGGATTACTTGGAGAAGCTTGCATCAACTGGTTGTCCCAACTCCGTGGCATCGGGTTTGGAGCAACCTCGTATTCAAGAAACGGGGATGACCCCGCAAATACTGTCGAGCTTTGCTCGTGTTAAACACATCTTCCAGCATCTTTGGCACACTTAAAACTCTGGTAGGCCCTAATCTAAACATAGCGTAAACTAGGCTGGTTCTGAAACGACTCCTAAAGTCTTGCTCAAATGCCAGCTTCAAAGCCAACATGAACCCATGCCACCAACGCACAAAATCGGCAGAGACTGCTTCCCGCATCATGAGTGGATTCAGCACCCTGAGCACCAAACGTGACATCCTTGAACCCTAAACTGAATCAGGGCTGTTTGTCGGCTTTAATGTCTGGTTTAGCTTCAGTTCAGGTTCCGAAGGCATGGGTGTTGGTTTCGAAATGTTACGGCTCAGGCGGTAGTTCAGGGTTTTCTGGCAGCTTAGCACAGGTTTAGGGTTTGGATTTCAGGGTCAAGGTAAGTTGTTTAGAATATAAGATTTCGAGGGCTCCACCGTCGTAGCGCCTGATTCCCGATAAGACGGGTAGCTACCGCAAAGTATCCACGTGGCTATTTTGAACAATGGCTGGGAAACGCAAAGTCCTCGTCCTCGTCCTTTAGGTTGGCTCATGTGTGTGACATAGGAACTCTATACGCCCAGACCCGATGAAACTCGTGTGAAACCCTGGTGAACATCCGGCATATGTGATACCCTTTTTTGAGTTGAAACTCGTGCAAAGCACTTATGCCTATGCCAGCCGTGTCAGAAATAAATTTCATGTAGACCATGTAGACCCCTGATTTCACACACAAAACACTTCAAGTTTGTCCATAAGCCCGAACGTCAGGAGTCTTATCAAAGTCTTGAATAGAAGACAAGGCGTACTTATCCGGGATCTGCACTAACCCCAAACCTCTAAATACCCCTAACCCCAAACCCCCTAAATGCCCAAATCCTGAACCCAGGTCTGCTTTTTAGGGGTGCGCGAGGGTCTCAATTCCACGTCTGCTGCTGTCATTCCGCGGACGATAACCCCCAAATCATGCCTGCTGTGTTCAGTAAGAATCAGGGGAAATGCATGCTGCATGTCGATAAAGGATCATGGTAGCACATCTGCCGCATTATATTTTAGCGGGAACTGAAGAACCTTTACTGCACGTATGAGGGTCGAACATCATTTTCTACCGCATACCCAGCAGGTCAGCCGTTGCGAACCGATGAACATGGGGCCTGCCTTGTAGAATTTTCCGATTCATGGCAATCAGAAATTCGTAAGGAAGGCACGAGAATCGGCAAGCGTGGCATCGTCTTCGTCAAAAAGCAAGGGGTCCGCACGCATTTCCACTGTCGAATGGACAGGCTAGTTCAGCCGAAGCTAGGGGTCGGTCTCCAAAATCTCCAGCTTACGTGCGCTGAGCCGCTGAGGTCGAAAGTTGCCACCACAGCCAGCGCGCAAAACGAAAAAAACATGCATAAACATTTTTGGCGGATTCGGCACCCTTTACCACCTTGGGGCGACACTGCAGTGTCTGCCGGTGCCGCTTCAGGAATAAGGCTTCGCCCGCCCCTTCCAAGATGACGCCAGAATGGATTCGTGGGTCAAACTCCGCCAAATCCATCTGCTCAGAGTCCTCCACCATGATCTCCCAGAAGTCTGGCCCTGCAAAAAACGCCTTTCCCAATCGGGCCGGCCCCACGATGGCCAGGATGGGCCGCCGGAACTTCGCTTGGCCATCCTGAATCTGGAAGCATTCTTCCACCACTGGGAGCAGAAGCATGCTTTGCTGTCTTGAAGTTCAAAAGCCTGCGGTCGTAACAAAAATCACACGTTGCACGTGAACTGAAAACAAAGCTTGAGATAAAAATCATGCGAAAGTACGAATCACATAGAGACGGACTGCCGAGAATCGTTTGCACCCCGCCTGGGATTTCAAGGAACACCAATGTATAATCTGTACTTAACGATTCGGCTCGAAACAACATCCTGTTTGCGACTTCTTCGATCACCTTGCCAGAACTCGACATACGGTCTTTTGCAATCTAGGTTCATTTACCCACCGCGACGTACGTCGGGCTCCCTACCCCAAAGGGTCCTAAGTACCGAAACGGGGAGACTTACCCAAACCCTACATATGGTAATTCCTACTATAGAAACCCTACTTTGTACTGAACCCTAAACCCTAAACCCTAAACCGCAAATGTACGCAGCCGATTCGAGGCTGTTCGTGGGCACGACGCAGGCATCAGTCCCTAAAGCCTTACTAGACAGTTGATCGTATAAATATACTAGGGGGCGGAAGAATACAGGTAGGTAGCCAGGCTTCTGTCTATACTAGACCCCAGAATGTAAGTAGTACAACGGCTCTGATAACCCATTTTATGGCTCTAAGATGTAAGGTCTTCGACTACCAAGAAAAGGAGTACATTCAAAGCTAAACAGAGCCTACCCAAAGCGGCCCAAGTACCATTGCAGTATACATTTCTGGGGCCCACATACCTCTCAGGGTCCATGTACCCAAATGTATATACTGTGGCCACAAAGTACCTAAACAAAACGACTTTAAGTCCAAAGTTTATGCTATAATCAGAACCTACAAAAGCAACCGGTTTTGGTAGGTTAAGGTATGGGCGATAACGAATCTCCTCCAAGCGCTTCAGGGCCGCATCGAGGCGGATCAGTCGCTCCTGGGCTGCTTGAGGAAACAGAGCTTCTGGTTTTGGGGCTGGGGGGGATCGTAAGTGTTGGTTGCAGGGTGAAGGGTTTGATGTCGACTTAGCTTTGAGGGTTTAGGTGTTACGGGGGTTTTGGAGTAATCAGCCTGTGTTTCATTTTGGGGATTCGTTGTGCTTAGTCAGTCTTCTTTAATGCGAGAATCCCGCAATATAAGGGCCTTAAACCCTCTCTTAAGGCTTCAACGGGTTACATGGAGATTACACACTGAAGCCCTAAAACAAACTTGAGATCCTTGAGCCCACTCAAACCTTACAAGTTTTCGGTTCAAGCACTGCGCCAAATCTCCATGGGCAAGAGTTGCCAGTGCCAGAACCACAATAGCATTCGGCCTCCTGCTGTAATGACTCTTTGCAGCAACTTCACTGCCACGTGCAGAACTTGAACCCTCGATCCTTCCTTCTTCCGGTAAGCACTCCCTGTTTCAATTGCCGACTGCGAATATTGAGTTTAGGGTTTAGAGTTTAGGGTTACATACGCCTACTTATCTTGTGTTAATATATGCATACACCACTGACCGGTTTCATGCCGTAAACCTCGGAGCCCACCGTTAGCTGCCACCGAGCCTGCACCCGCCTGGCATCCTAGACTCGCAAGCCCTAAGCCGTCAACCCTAAAGTCTAATATTTGCCCTAAACCTAAACGCTTAAAGTACTCGAAACTTCGAATCCGAGCTTTCCCTAAGCCTTGAACCGTCTAAACCCTTAACCCTACAAGCTCGAATTTCAAGCTCTGCGCGGTAAACCTCTAGACTCTAGACCCTAAACTCTGACTTTAGACTGTAAGCCCTAAGCCCTCTAAACCCTATAGACCCTAAACTATAATTTTAGATCCTAAGCCCTAAACCATCTAAACCACCCAAAAACAATAGACCATTCACCCTTCAAAGCACCGATCGGTGTCCTGCTCCTTCTCCTCCTGGGCCTGTCGAGCCTTTGTGGCAGGTTTAGGGTTTAGGGCTTATAGGGATTATAGGGCTTATAGCGTTTAGGGTCTAGTTTAGGGTTTAGGGGATGGGGGTTAGGGTTTAGGGTTTAGGGCTATATGGCTTTAGGGTTTATGCGCTTGGGGTTTTGGGCTTCGTGCCACCTTGAGAGAAGTACCGGGGCAGTGAAAACGACTACCACAGGGTTTGGGAGGTCTAGTATCTTAGAAATCCGAGAAGGGACCCTAAGAAAAAAATGTCAATATTGCTACTTCTTCATTTTTCTTTTCAACATTGTTACAGTATTTCGAAGGAAGAACATTGTTAATTAACTAAGTATTCAGGCTGCTATAGTAGATGCAGCATCCAGGAAGAGCCTTACGGCTTATAAGGGCTTGGGGATTTGGGCTTGGGTGCTGAAGGGCTTTTGGCTTGCGGTTGTGGGTTTTAGGGTTTAGGGCTTTTGGGTTTAGGGCTTCCGGGCTCTAGGGGTTTGAGGGTTTAGGGTTTAGGCTTTGGGGTTTGAGGGTCCGTCTGAAGGTTTGCAGGTGAATCGGTTAAGTGTTTAGAGTTTCAGGGTTTGGGGGCTTGAGTCTTTAAGCTGTAAGAAGACGAAGAGCCTTTGGGGCGAGGGATAAAGCTCTGAACGACAACATGGATGGGAATGGTTTTGCTTGTGCTCTGTCTCTCTCTTCTCTCTCTCTCTCTCTTCTTCCACAGGGGCTCTCTCTTTCTCTCTCTCTTTCTCTCTCTCTCTCTATCTCTCTCTCTCTCTCTCTCTCTCTCCCTCTCTTCGCTTCAGAACCCGGGCCGAACGAATGAAAGCTTTCAAAGGTGCGAACTCGAAATTCTTACTTGACCCAGTCATCAAGCAAAGCCGTAGAGTGTAGGGCGTAGGGTTTACCCCGAGTCTCAGGACCCGCCATTTCGCATGAGTTAGCCCGGCGACCGTAAGAATCTGTGAGAGCTAGTGCAAGTATTGTTGTGCGTCTCTTATACGGTACGGGTTTCCGCACTGATGCTTCCCCTTCGAGCTACTACCACTACTACATACGACGACAACTGCTACTTCTGAATTTCTGGCAACTACGGCCATCATTTTCACTATGCGTTGTTTCCGGCGCTGCTCCTTCTATTGAGATTCCCGCGGTATGACTACCCATAGGCCCTAAAGTAGTTCCTCGAGCCTGAGCATGAAATCCCTGAACCTCAGCCCTAAACCCTAAACCAAGAGTTGCGGAGCTTGGGATGCCTTCTCCAACTCCAGGGCCAGTCGCTGACGGAGAAGTTCCTTCCCAGAGACTCCAATACCTCTTAATTAAGGAATGTACCTTAAATTACAGCAGGATCCCTAATCTGATTTAAGGTATATTCCTTAATCAAGGGATATTGGAGTCCCTGGGTTCAGTACGGGGTCCAAAGGGTTTAGGGCTTCAGGTTCAGAGCCGGCTTCCAAAGAAAAACACGCTGTCGTCGGAGCCCTTACTGATGTTTGGGCAAAGACGCTGTCTAAATCGAAGCACGGGAACACCCCTTGAAAAGATCCGACTTTTCTGATTGTGTTGACATTCCCTAAATGGTGACAAACGGTTGGCTCCTGCAGAAACTAGCAAGACAATGAACCCGCCATGCTGAACAGCAAGACCGAAGCCCGAATAGCCTGCGAGCCTACACATAAACCACCCCAAAATCCTGTAAACCTATGCAAGCATGCCAATGTTTTAACCCAAATATTGAACTGTAGCCCTAACCCTCAAAATTATCTCATTCTGGCTAACGTGTAGCGTGTAGTACACAGCAACATGTCCGAAAGCGCTGTGCCGATCATGACGGGCCTGTTCAACCAACCTATACAGCCCAACAATCTCATAAAGGTTCCTAGGGTAGCGCAGTAACTCAGTAAGCATGGTTTGGCGCGTTGAGGCTGTTGATAAACGATAGGATCGCTGCAAGGTGTTTTTTCTTGCAAGTGTTGATGTTGTCGGAGATACAGTTCCAGGGCTTCAGGTCCATAGTTTTTAAAAGGCTGTGAACGGCTTAATTATTGAGATTGTTTGTGTTGCAGTTTGTATTGGAATAAACATATCCAATGTGGTTTGGAGTTCTGGGATGCTTTGGGACATGCCCCGCAAGCCCGTCAAACGCTGAACCTGTGAACCCTCGAAACCAAAACATGAGACGCCGAATCCTAAAGCCCTAAAGCCCTAAACTGCTCGAAACCCACAGCTTCCATTCTGGAAAAAGTCGGTCGATCTCGTTCTCCTCTCTTGCCTCGACATAGCGGTCTGCGTGACCCTGGTTCACAGTTGCGGTGAGATGCATGCTCCAGATCTGTGTGAGTGTTCCGAAAGCCAGCGGAGGATTGTCCTAGCCAGGTTGAGGTAGTAGCGCCTTTGCAACACGAACTGCCTGACAAGAACACACTAAACCCCTGAACTAGCACCCACAGCCCAACACCAGGACCTATCCGAACTTTAAACCCTAAACCCCTAAACCCTAAACCCAAAGGCCAAACCCGAAACCCCTAAACCCGAAGCCCTGAACCCCGAAATCCTAAACCCCTAAATCCCTTAACCCTAAACCCTTAAACCCTGCACCCTAAACTCTCAACCCTGAGCCGCTAAACCCTAAACCCTAAACCCTATAAACCTTAAACCCTCGACCCTGAGCCGCTAAACCCTAAACCCTAAACCCTAAATCCAAAACCCTAAACCCTAAACACTCAACCCTGAGCCGCTAAACCCTAAACCCTAAACCCTATATCCTAAACCCTAAACCCTAAACCCCTAAACCCCAAACCCTATAAACCCTAAACCCTAAAACCCTAAACCCCTGAAAACCCCGAGGCCTTCCGCTTCTCCTCCCACTTCGCCATCTCCTCGCGGCGCGTGGCCAGTCTTTCCTCCACCTCTGCAATTCTGTTTCTTGGGTTTAGGGTTTAGGGTTTAGGGTTTAGGGTTTAGGGTTTAAGGTTTAGGGGTTTAGGGGTTTAGGGTTTAGGGGTTTAGGATTTAGGGTTTATGGCTTAGGGTACCCATAGGCCCCATAGTAATTCCTTTTGGGGATTCCCTAATAGGATTCTAAATATGAGCCTCAAAAAGGAACTACTTTAGGGCCTATGGGTATGTTTCTGTTTTTTGTTTTAAGGCCCTTTTCCGTGCTTCCGCCCAGAGTTTAGGCTTCGTACTCCTGGATGTTACGGACGGGTAAGACTTAGTGAGATTAGGACTTTTCGCAGGCTTTACATGGTACTACAGAGATTACATACCGGGCTTCTGCAAGGCTGTGTGTTCAGGGGTTTGGGGTGTGTTTGGTTTGTCGAGGTGTTTATATTAGATGGCGTCTACACTACAACTGTGTTCAAGGGCGCTGGAAAGGATTATGAAGGTTCGTAATAAGGGCTCTAGAATGTCATCGTTTAAAGGGTCCGGCAGGGGTTTGAGGGTTTAGTGTTTGACGGGCTCCCGGACAAAGCATATTTGGAAATATCAGCTGATTCTGTAGGATCTCTTCAGGAGTTGGAGTTTGGTGATCTAGGTCACCTGATTACAGCAACGTTTGTAAAGGAACCCGGCTCGGGAAGGCTACACAATCAGAAGGAATTCGACTGCTGGCGCCTACGATACCATATCCCTAAAGCCTGGGATGCGAGAGGTGTAGGTCCAAGACTATGTCTTTAGAGTTAATTAGGATTCGGGTTTGGGGTTCCCTTTAGGGTCTTGCGGTCACAAATAAAAGTTCGGGGTTTACGGTTGCTGGATCCAGACCAACCCTAACCCCCCAGGTACCTACTATATGAGGTACTAGAGCCACTAAGGCCCTATATAGTAGGTACCTGGGGGGTTAGACTAAGCTGGCCTTCACAAATCGAATATTTATATTCTTGGGTCGATCACGCTCATGGACGCTGGGGAACCCGGATAGTCTACACGACTGTCTTCGCCTCGGCGATCCTATATCTCTCGGAACCCTCGGCTTAAGGGTTTATAGGCAACAGAGAACCCTGCGATTTTCATGCAAGAAAGACTTGTAGATGATTCAAGAGTCGAAGGTCTTGTGGAACAGAAGTGCATTGGATGCTCTGTGTACTGCCTAAATGGGTGTCGTTTCGCCCTGAAGATCAACATGAGAGACGCAAGGAACCATACCAACATAACCGATTGGCCCTAACCCCGCCTCGCAGTCATGACCTCTAAAGGGACTCCTCTATCTCCAAACAAGGCATGTATTCATGTAGATATGTCTTACGCTTTATGCGTGGTACAAATACAGACACAGGTATCCATATATTTATCTATCTATCTATCTATCTATCTCTCTATCTATCTATCGTAAAGCATTGCCCCGCAAACTGACGCTTCGCCCCTGCCTCGTCCACCGTGGGAGGCACGTCACAGGTGTTCACCTGAAACGTGTGTCATGAGTCATGAGTCTTCGGCCGGCACATCGTATTCTGCTACAGCTCCTACTGCCAGATAGTACTGCTGCTGCTGCTCCTACGACTACTGCTACTACTACTACTACTCCTCCTCCTCCTGCTACTGCTGCTACTGCTGCTACTGCTACTACTGCTACTACTACTGCTACTACTACTACTACTACTACTACTAATTCTAGTACTACTACTACTACTACTACTACTACTACTACTACTCCTACTACTACTACTACTACTACTACTACTACTACTTCTACTACTTCTACTACTCCTACTACTCCTGCTACTCCTGCTGCTGCTACTACTACTACTACTACTACGACGACGACGACTACTACTACTACTACTACTACTACTACTACTCCTACAATTAAAACTACCCTCAGCAGCAGCAGCAGCAGC